CGGGAGCGTGTGACGACACGCTAGCAACAACGTCGATACTAAACATCCATAATCGGCGGGGGTGGTCCAAGACTCGCTATTCCGAGGGATGCGCATGCGGCCACCCTCTGTTCTTTCTCTCTTTCTACATCATCGCTGCTTTCAACCCCAGAACTCCATTTGGTCTATGTGCCAAATCTGCAATTCTGGCCGCGAATATACTGGGTGATAAATGTTCACCGAATTTTGTAAAAAATTTATAATGATAAACAAGCAATGTTAATTGGTCAAATGTTGTAACATACTCTATTACGAGTAATATTATTTTATTTATTACCACCATTAAAATGATATAAATATTAAATATTTTAATTGTTTTGTAAAAATTATAGGAATTAATTCATCAAATTAAAAGTAAACGATGTGTATAATAAAGAGATTTATTATTGAAGTATTAACAATTTTTTAGCACAATAGTATGTATACCTTCCAAGGGATGTCTTATAAGCACGTCCAGAGAAGATTCATACGTATATATTCTCTGAACGTTCTGAGTATTCCTAAGATATCTGTCGGATAAAGTGTGCTGTATAAGATGATATCATTTAGCCATTCAAAGTCACACTATTATAAGTATTAAATATAGTATTTGATTGCATTAAAAACTGTAGATAATTGATTCGTCACACATAAACTTTATATAATGCAAATCACCATATGCATTAAAGAGCTTAATCACTTTCAAAGTATTAAATTTTAATGATGATTCTTCATGCATATCTTGATATTTTCCATGTCATTTAAACATTATCGTTCTTTAAAACCATTTATAAATATTAAATAGCACTTAATTCATTAAAAGTTATAAAGATTAGTTCATTCAATTAAATACAATATACAGACAAGTCCATTATCAGAACTATTAAACTTTAATGAGAGCTTCTGTCAGATTTTTCACTATATTTATTATTTATAAATATAAAAAGCGCAAGAAATAAAACGAAGCACCCTATAGAAGGATTCTATGTAGAGATGTTATTACGAGAGAAGTTCTGTGAACCACTTTGTTCCCGTTTTAAGCATCTGTGACCTATCTTTCTGTTTCTTTTGGAAAGGTTAATGCAGCAGTACATGAGAATGAAAAATGGAGAGATGCTCAGATACTATTCAAGTATTTTATGTGTGAAAAATGAAAACGGCAGAATACGAATGCGAATTCAAATGTAGCTAAAATTCACGAGCTTAAAATAATGCAACATGTAGAACAAGATGAGATTATGTATAATAATAATAATAATATATATTAGCAGAGAAAGAGAGAAATCTTTTATTATTTATTATGTAATTATTATTATGTAATAATAAAATAAGACAAGAGAGTATATCAAAATAGACACATATCGAAATTGAACAAACAAAATATCACGTGTATTCGAAAAAATTCACAAATTTATCAATATTAAATTTTATATTGGATATTGATAAATATTATGAATTATGCCTTATAGATAATAATAAATTATTGTAATAACATTAAATTTCATTTATGACGATTTACATATAGCATTAATTATAATGTATTATAGTTAAGTTTCTTGTTTGAAAACCCGCCATTTGTTTTCTTACTTGAAAATAATCATAGGTAAAGCAAGTAAAGCTGAGAACTTCAGACGTATTCGGTGTTAATTAATATATGTACACAATTATTACACTCCAGGACAAAATATATCGCAAATTCCGGTTAAAGTAAAATGTAAACAATACACACACATCTTGCATCATAATTTATTATTTAAATTAAATTTCTTAATGAAACATTTACTGGCTGTCTTTCCTATTTGAAGACACTTGCAAATGTAAAAAACGAGAATTAAAACTGATAATTTCAGACACGTTCCGCATTACTTAAAGTTACACCATAAGGCGGGAGTACTTACGTCGCAAGTTATGGATGACGAAAACATGCCGAGCGTGCAGGATTTCTCTCAATTGGAACGGCAATTCCGTGAACAGTTTTACGAGTTGCAAAACAACACGGTAAAATATAATAGCACTTACTATATTGATCAACACTCGAAGCGCACTTAACCCGGGCCTTTACGCCCGCGTGCACCTGTAACATGTTCTAAACTAAATTAATACACGAAGCAATGTTATAATAATATACGGAGACTTGTACATTATACAGGATATTACAAGATATTTAGAGAAAGTTTAGAGTGGATCTAAGGGGTGATTTCAACCAAATTCCAAACTCAACTTAATTAGCCGGAATTATTATAATAACAAGTACTTGTACTAGTTTGCTAACGTGAATAGAATAATTACTGTTTAATTTTTTAAATAGATGCTTAAGAAAAAGACCAGATTAGGACAATAAATTATATAATACAGTTAAAATTTTGTATCTGATTATAATATCAAGTTAATTGATTTAGTAAATCGAAATTCGGACGAAATCACTCTAAACCGTTGCGATAAAATGTGAATTAGTATTATACATATGTATTATTAGATAGCAAATTAAATTGTTATAAATTGTACTAATTATAATTATGAGAGATATAATTATATATTAATTAGAAACTCGATTAAATTAATTACCGATCAAAGTAATTGGATTTACTTATGCAAAATTATCTTTATTAAATTATACAGGTTTTGTTTTGAAAAAAGTATTTTTAATTAAAAATTCTTTATTTTAAAATTTGAAAGTAACTTGAACTGGATTCTTAATTTCTTTTCCAAATCGAGCGGCAGTAATAATAATGCTAAAACAAAAATTGCATTTTTTTTTTTAAAGGAAACAAATCTTTTCTGTTACGGACTAAATACTAATCACTAACTATTTATAATAGTTTACTCAATTAATTATTAATTTTATGTGAATTATGTACATTTCGAGAGCAGATTATCATGCAGACAATGCAGAAAGAACTATTGGAAACTCGTTACGCTTTATACAGCACGGAGTTGGAGCTGGAAAAAGAGCGGGGGGTTTCTCATGAGTTAAAGATGCGTCTGAAAGCGGTCACGGAGGTGGCGAACGAGTCGCAGCAACAGCAAACGAAAAATCAGGTCGAGAGTGTTCAATTAAGAATCAAGCATGACGCGATGACGAAGCAGTGCGAGTCCCTGATGAGTCAAGCCGCGACCACGAAGATGCACGAGGCCGAGTGTAAAATAAAAATTCAAAACTTAGAAGAGAAGCTACGTCAAAGAGACGCGAGTAACAAAATAATGGAACAAGCTTTGAAGAAGCTTAAACATGATAATTCGCGCATTGTTACCACTATCGATCAGTACGTTTGACCTCGTCGAATATTCGCTATATTCGACTATAGAAACAATCTTTTACTGTCTAAATTCTCACTTTCCAAAGAGCCAGTCGTAAAAGAGTGGCTCAATTTTCAATCTTTAAAAATGAGATTTCATCTTTTAGAGCGAAATTCACTTAAAAAATTTTTTTTAATTTGTTATTTTATTTTACGTAAGATTTGTTTTTTTATTGCTGTACTGTATTGTACTTCATTAAAAAATTCTTTTACGCTTACGCCAAATTTCAAACGTATATATATCCATTTCACTTTAAATACAAAAAGTGTACACTTATAGTCCAGCTATAAAAAATATATTTCTTTATTTAAAATTTAATCTGTCATTTGTAACTTTATTTCTAATCTAAATTATAATTAAATTTTAATGACAGATTCGCAACGATAGATTTTTTTGCGATTATAACATTAATAATAAAGCCAGAATTTAATCTTCATGTTATCTTGTAGCTTCATAATTTATCATTGACCTTTTAGTACAATCGCGAAATTTAAAGAGGAGCATCAATACCTGCAGAGATCTTGCGAAGAAATTATCATTCTCAACCAACGTTTACAAACTGTAGGTTTGTGTACACACGCGATACATCAGAAGGATAAAGCGAAAATAAAAGAGTTGGAACATATGCTAGCTTCAATGATGATCAGAAACACAGGCTCCGCACAAGAATTCGTAAATTACGATGCACATTCGAAGATAAGAAAATTACCGCCATCTATATAAAAAATAACAGGGGACAGGATTATATCAATAAATATACTAAAAACACGTAATGTACAGGATTAATAAAAAATGTATTATAATAATCGTTTGTATATTTAAGTATAAGTTTTGAACAAGTTCTGATGATAAAAATGCAAACTTGTAAGATGCACATCATGACAACCAGCGAACGAAAGATTTGTTTATTTTTTTTTAATTGCAGATTCCTGTAAACGAATCTATCTCTATATGCAAAATAAACCTCGTTGGAAGATAAGCCTCGCATAATTTATGCTCGTCTGTCTTTTTTCATTTAGACCTAATAAAAAATTCTATGACTATCCGTGATATAACAAAATTGTTTCTATAAAGTTTTTGTTCAATTCGTCACAAGGCATTTTAGTTACATCAGTTAATGCTCTAGTACGCTTTATGTTTTCCTGTTAATTTTGTGAAAAAGCTATATCTGCTTAATAACAGTATAAAAACGATCGTGATACCTATATACTGCTTAATCTTATTTTTTTTCCCTTATTTTTAGTCATTGTATGTGATGTTGTACGGTGTGATGTATGTTTCTATATTTTTATAGACACATGGTCCTCGAAGACACACACACGATATAAATTATATTAAAACATGAATTGCAGAATTTCGTGCATAAAAAATTGTATACTTTATCCCATTGCCATAAAAATTAAGTAACACGTACTTTTACACTTAACAGTGATTTTTCAATAATAAAATCGATCATTGCCCTTGAATATAGAAAACCAGAGGAGAAATTCAATTGTGTGCTTAATATATCACATAACATTATCTGATTTAATAAATTACATTATAATCACTTTTTAACCCTAATCGGTATTCGTGGATCCAGTAGACATTTTCTTTAATTTCTGTTTATAACTTTTCGCAATCTACATAATTTTAAATTACATAATCTTTTCTCAAATTTTGTTCAAAACAAAAAAGTCGTTAATTTTAAGCAACGATACATTAATTTAAAGTACACTGGACCCGCAAATTTCAGTTAAGGAAATCTCAGAGCAAATACCGATTAAAGTTAAGAGATACGATAGGATATGGATCACATCAATAGGATATAAATCCCGTCAACTTAAACCACTGCAAAACTATTTCACCTAAGTCCCTTTAATTATATTGATTAACTAGAAAATGTTTGCATAACAAATTGTAAAAGTTGCATGAATTAACATGTATGCATTCCCTTTCTATGCACTAAAAATAAAACATTTTAATACTTTCTCCTCTGAGGGTTTCTTCGGCAAAAAAATACATTCATGTAAATAATTTCTGAGTCTTTAATACGATGCGTTTCTCATTGTCAAGGAATAAATCCACTATATCCGATACTTGAGATGTGAAAAGTTCCACAGAACATCGGTTTTGTTCGACGAAATGAACATAAGTAAATAATGATAGTAAATAGATGCGCCTCCTTGAACAGTTGAAAATATTTGGGGGGTCAGAGTATAATACAACGGGCGAGCCAACTAGGTGGCTTCCTTTGTGGTTCTGAAGCTTTCAATTGATGACCGCCGCCTTTCGGTGGATTCGACGCTTCCTATATAAAACAAAACATAGTATTAACAGAATGCGTAATGTAGCATAAGATATATTTAGTACACAAACTTTATCGTAATTTCACACCATTTTTATGCACTTTCTTTATAACCAATTTAAATGTTACTTATATTTAGTCCAGCAATTAAAATGTTAGTAAATGCAAACATAACAGCATGCATGTTATCTCATTGTGATTTGTATTTATTTATTCGATTATTAGAAATAACTGATCACAAAGTTAATAGCAAATAACACAGCATACATTCATTGTTAAGCAAGCTGAGTGTAATATAATGCAAAATTAAAATAACATATCTATATTCTTCAAATATAAGATTTGATCTTTTTTTATTTTTGTACTAAACTGCATCAGAATTTTCTTTCTCGTTTTAGCTAAATATGAAGTATATACCTGTTTCATTTGAAATTCTAAAACTGTACGCTAGTTTAGTTACTAAAAGCATACCTGTATAATGTAAATTGAAACTGATATCAGACATATAAGTAATAATAGAGACAATAAATATTATTTCGAATTAATGTAAATATTTGATTAATATAAAATTGCAATAGTTTTTTAGTAGACATTTGCTCGTCGCTATCAAAACAAATTAATGAATAGAAGCCACAAATGATATATGACAAGATGCAACGATATATCATCACAAAATGTTTTGTTGATCGTAGATATAGAATTCAAGACATATAATTAAAAAACGTTAAAAACCAACGGTGTACATAGAAAGTTACCTTCTGCCAAGATGGACCAGCACCAAATACAAGAGAAACAGAGACAGGAAACAGAGAAACAGTGGTTATTTTGTGTAATACACATGAGATAAAAATGTTCATGTGAAAACTTATATATATATATATATATATATAATTAAGCATATTTCTCTAACTTATATTATTCCAATTATTAATATCTCTGTATAATAGATTTTTAAATGTAGAAGGTTTTACATATTGAAACATGAATACTAATAGCATATTAATTACAGATATATGAATACAAAGTAATCTATATTTGGCCAACCAATATCTGTAATCTCTTGGAGTATATGTGATACAATTCGTATTTCCTCACCAGTTTCTTTTCCATTTTCGCTTTGATATCACGTGCCAGAGTATAAAAAGCCTCTTCCACATTGATACTAGATTTCGCCGAGGTTTCCATAAATTTAATGCCATATTCCACAGCCAGTTGTTCGCCCCTTTCCTTCGTCACTTGCCTCTTGTCTGTAAGCTCACACTTATTGCCTAATAACATTTTTTCCACATCCGCTGACGCATTTTCCTCTATATTACGAATCCAGTTTTTAATGTTTTCAAAACTTTTATCGTTTGTAACGTCGTACACCAACATGATTCCCATCGCACCACGATAGTACGCTGTAGTTATGGTGCGAAACCTTTCTTGTCCAGCGGTGTCCCTTCAAGTGCAAAGAACGCATCCAATTATATTGCAGTACGATTTACATCACGACTCTACGGGACTAAATTGCTCTTGATATGACGAACGAAAAGAAAGAGCATAAAGTATATTTACCATATTTGTAGCTTAATTTTCTTTCCGTCCAATTCTATGGTACGAATTTTAAAGTCAATGCCTGAAACGTACAAGGAAATCAAGTGAATCAAAATCTGGGTTACTTTCCGGAGATACGGGGAAACGGAAAGCAGCGGACCGAGGTCGGATGAATCACGTTACTGTAAGCAGCACGACATAAAGTGCTCTTTGTCCATTATCGAATGATATTCAGGCCGTTTTCTCAAGAGAGAGAGACACACCCCGGTCTGCCGAAGGCAGTGATTAATAAACGTAGAAATGAGACGGAGATCGCGAGGAGGTGGGGGAGAAACGTGTGCCGACACAAAAACGTACCGATGGTCGAGATGAAGGTGGTGTTGAATGCATCCTCGGAAAAACGGAACAGCACGCAGGTCTTGCCTACGCCGGAATCGCCGATCAGCAGCAGTTTGAATAAATAATCGTACGTCTTTGCCATTGTCGCTGCGATGATGGAACGGGTATCGTCGCAGCCGCCGCTGAGCTTCCCCGAGCGATTATTATCGCTCACCACGAGTTCCGAGCGCTTCGCGGACAATGCTTCCTGGCGTTTGTGACGAGCCCACGAATTCGCAACACCAGCTGGCCGAGTCTCCCTATATTTCTCCCTCTCGGTGTCCTGCTATCTCTCTCTCTCTTTCACTCCGCTCGCCACCGAAGATATCTAACCGTCTCGTCCGCGAGACATTTGATGAGGCGCGTTCTCCTTCCTCCGGTGTTCGCTCGCTCGCTCACTCTCTTTCCGCTCACTCTCCTTCTCTGTCTACTCCTGGCTCTCCCGACGAGATTTCAGACTTTTCAGACACGATGACAGCACAAACGGGCGGTGACGCGTGGCTCTACCGCGCGTGAGAAATCGCGGGAGAAGGGGGCTTCGCTAGCGTATCCCTTGTATACACTTGCGACCGCGCGACCGCGAATTAACAAAGCGGATTAATCGCGCAAAACATCTGTCACACAAAAAAAGCGGTGACAGCCGTCCGTCCGCGAACTCCAACGCGATTTCGCCCTCGTGTGGTGGCCACCTTGCGCCGCCAAGTGCGCGTGCGCAACACGTGTTTCGTCTCGCGGCGATCTCGAATTTTGAAACTGTGTCCATATCAACCACAATGAGGAGTTGTGGAGGATTGATGAGAATTGATCGCAATCTTCACGGATGATCACAGATATCTGCAGATATCCACATATAATATTGAAATCGCGAAGGGATTTTGCCAGTGAATGACACAGAACATTTTCTTTAAAGACAGTTGATTTTGTATCATGTTGATGTTTGTCATCGCATTCTATCCTTCTTGACATTTAATAAATAACAAAGATAGAACGACACTTGTTTGTCAATGTTAAACGAAGATGAAATGATTCACTTGTATTGCGCTGTCATTTGTCTCTTGCTGGAAAACACCTTGTTTTTCTTTTAAAAGAAAAGTAGTTGTGGATGACACAGATATAATTTTATACACATATCCTTCTTGAATTCATATGAATAATAAAAAGATACTTGAGTCAACAGTATATTTATATTCATTCTATTTTATACGAGTTATGTCATTTTATTTTTTACAAATTATGTCATTTTTTGAAATTAATACTTTTTTATACGTTTAATTATACGTTAATTATTATACGTTTTAATACTTTTTAATCGACATAAATTAAATGAATCTGATAAATCCAACGTTAGTAGCTGTATTACAGATTTTGCCATCAGTTCCGGGGATTAAACTTAAGATTTTATCTACAATTCCTTTATAGATTCTATCCAGCTAATGAAATAATTATAACTATATAATATTTCGAGAAATCGCGCATTTAAGATAATCTTAAAAATAACATTAGAATAATTTACCTTAGAGCATGAACATGGTATAGCGCATTGCTATACTATAGAGATTCCGGGTTCGAACCACGGTAGAATAACAAAATTTTCGTATACTCTTATAGCTCCTCTCGGAAGACAATGGCGGGCAAAACACCGGATAGAGTATATTTGCCCAGCACCCCTATTCTGTAACTTTTAAACGCAAGTTCATTATTGTTATATAACATTATTGCGCAGCTTTTATCAGGATAAAAAAGCTGCACAAGAATGTTATAACAATAATGAAATTTGCGTTAAGGCTACAGAATAGTCCTGCAGGAAACCTCCCTATACTAAAAATTATCGTTTCGAAATCAACGTTTAAACTTTCGAGTCCTTATATATCTTATGTACTACATATGTACAATCAGTATGTGTGCATAGGTATATGAGAGGGAAGTGCCATATGCGCTGTGACAATGTATGGTATTTAAAGAGTTGCCTTAGAAGCACCAAAATTAAATTATTTCGTATAAAAATAAGAGAAGAAATACAAACAAGATTCTTCTCTTCTGTACTACTTCTTTTCCTTGAATGTCTTCGTCAAAGGAAATATATTAGAAATATCTAGTAAGATAGAAAGAAACTTTATTGAAATACAAACATTGTTTTACTCCCTTTCTTACACTTTTTTTCCTAGATTACATTGACTTTTCCTTTTTTCTTAATATATAACGAAACATTAGTATGTACAAATCATGAGTTTCTCGCCATCTTATTTGATCGGAGTTCTTATTAAATAGAGCTTTAGTAGTTAATAGAAATTTTTTTTCTTAGCAAACATTTCAGATATGAATCATGCAAGTTTCTTAATAATTTATTACAGCTTTCATTAAAAAGACCCAAGTTTGTAGATTTGAAAGTTGAAGCCTTAATTAAGATTTGTTCCTACATAAATATGTAAAATTGATTCATCTTTTTGTATTATAATATAGAAATCAATTAGATAAATCATTATTACATGCTGTTTATTTTAATCCTTTAACTATTTGACAGAAAAAAACGACTGGCCTTCATGTTCTTTCTGTAGCGAAATAATATTTCTTTAGACGATGTGATACATAGCTCTTTCTGGCCAGGCTATCTTTCAAAGTCAAAGATATTCTTAAAATTAATAAATAAAAAGCTTTGTAGCAGACATAAAGGAACGCTCATCAAACATCCTGCATATACATATACTATAATGTATATAAAATATATCCGTACACACATACATTTTTAGAAATAATTTTCAAATTACATTCTCTGAGATTATGAGAAGTAATTTTATAGTTCATAAATCATCCAAGATGCGCTAGAGCATTTTTATTAATTATTTAGCAATAATGATAGTAGTTTCAACATAACTTATTTATATTATAATATTATTAACAGCTTAATTAACATTGCAGTTAATAGTGAATATTAATTATACAAATAAATCCAATTATATTGCGTTTATGAATTATCTATAGATAAAATCTGGTCATAAAATAAGTTGTGTGTATGTGTGTGTGTACAACACACAGAACTGGGTTATTAAAATTTTAACACACGAAAATTGTCCGTGGCTTAAAAATGATTTATAAAAATATATGATGCTTCTTTTATGAATTATTTTAAGTTAATAGTTATTAAGTATTAAATCATTTGTTGTCCTGGTATACAGGGTTCAAAAGTCTAGAAAAATATAATGAAAACGATCAAGTATAACGAAAAATAGATACAATTTTTTTAGTTCTATAACTTCGCTTTTTATATTTTTTTTGCCATAATTGAGAGCTGTTGATATATCTTAGCATTTCCGATCTTTTAGTGAACACTGTAAATTAATAATACAACTCCAAATTTCATTCCATTTTGAGATAAAAAATTTCTCCAAAAAAAAAAAGTAATTTTGTAAAAGATCGTAAACCGTTTCCTAAACTTCACATTAAATGAAAGAAAAAAAGGACAGCATATGATACATGTGTTTAATATTTACATGAATTAATTAAATAAAATACTTAAAAGTATTTCTTTAAATTCTTCCCTCTCCTAAAATTCTTAATTAATATTAGTGAATGATGTGTTCAAATTTTAAGAGAAAGAAAAACTTATATAATAAATTACATTAACAAGATTGAGACATATGCTATGAAACCACGAATCTTCACGAAGTTAAATTCCGAGACTTCATTTGCAGTTCAAACCGTCGATTTGTTCGTACACCCTTCAATATCATCCGCGTTTCATGTTGCTGCTTTTGCCTACAAATATTCACAATTTCATAAAATTTTATATTGAATTATTTTAAAATTTCTTATATGTAGATCTATAAGTACATTATTTAATTTAACATTTAAATCCTTTCATCCTATAATTGTAATATTCATAATACAATTTATAATAAAATTCAAATTATATAGTTTAAGCTTGTGATATCGATAAAAGCACTCTATCTTGTAAATAAACTATTCTATAAAATATTTTTCTTAAATTTACTATACCTTGAAAAAATAGTTTGTTTTTTCAATATAAGATGCGTAGCTTCTGGCTTTTTCAATTTAAATCCAAATCTGTTATGAATACCGTCCTTTGTGTCGCTTGGCAATGGTTTCTTCTGTTCTGATTTCTCATCTTTTGAAAATGATTTGTTCTTAGCTATAAAAATGATTTATATAAAATTATTAGTATTATAATAAAAGTTATTGATGTATGCAGAATAATAATATTATCAAATTACTGAACGCTAGATGTCTAGCTTCCAAACGTTTCTTTGCATCTACAAGCGATTCTGATTTAGCAAACATTTGTTCATGTATCCTTCCAAAATTTGGTACTTTTTTCAGCGATGATTTTTTCTCTGAAGATAAATCTGAATGTTATTAGCACATAAAATAAAATATAAACAAATGTAAAATACGAGTGATTTTTTTTGTTACATTTTACCTGATTTCTTTTCAACTGATGCAAAAGTTTTTGGTGTTACTTGAATTGAATTCACCGGAATTATCGGTGTGCCTTTGTATATTCTTGGATTTGAGCTCGTAAAAGGAGAAATTAGTGAGTTCCGAGTAAGCTTTGCAGTTTCAGTCCTTTTCAATTTTTGTGCTGAATTCATAACATTGTTTCTATGCTGTACATTAATATTACGTGATATACTTGATCGTGATCCATGCAGCTTTTTAACTGAGTTTTGTGCACTATTTATATCAGATGATATATCCGCAAAATGTACTTTAGCTTTTTTAGCGTTATCTTTTATGCTTAAATTCGCATCTGTTGAATTGCGCTTTTTCGTCATTTGTTGTAAACTTAGCATCTGAGGTTGTTCCAATTCATAGGTATTCCTATTTTTTCCTTGTTTCTTTTCTATCGAATTATCCTTGTCATAAGTAGTGTTTAATTTCGTAACATTTGAAAGGAGAGATTGACTAGTATCACTAATTTCTTTATCAAAAAGAGAAGGTAAAGATATATTCTCAATATCTGTATTTTTATCAATTGTGCTAGCTAGCTGCATATTGGATTGATTTTTTGATCTAGTATTAAGAGAAGTGTTATTTACAGAATCAGAAGTATTAGAACACAAACTAGTGTTTCTTGATATCATTTTTCTCTCTCGTGGAGTGGATGATACTAAGGGCGCTTTCCCTTGTATTAATGTATTATATTTAATTCTTGATATTTGGTTAGTATCACTAATTCGTGGTTTCTCCATACTATTATTTCTTAATTTAGAATTAGAACTTTGCTTAGAAGATGCATCTTCAAAAACGTTCTTAACTTGTATTCTGAATATCTTCAAATTTCTTTTTTCCCTGTTTGAGGGAGATTTTACTTTGATCGAAATATCTCGAGTTTTATTAGCGACCACATATTTTTGTTTCAAGTTTTCAGGCGATAATTTATCTAAAAGTACTACTGGTTCAGCCAACACATCTTTTATTTGTGAAGTCGTCATTATCTTTGTTAATTTTGGACTTAAACAATAGTTAATTGATGACAAATTCTTTTTCTTAGATAAAAGAGATTTTTTGGGACTAATTTTGGACGATTTATCATTTTCAACATTTGGCGTAGTATCAAGACTCATGGAAGGCTTTGTTCCCAGACTTATTTGTATTTGGGATGGAGATAATAATTTCAATTTGTGTGATTTTGATTTTTTTGATTTTGAGGATTTTAACACTATTTTCGGAGATTTCGAGAATTTACGTATTATTAAATTTAAATCAGACTTCTCGCGATTACGTTTTACTTTTGGTGATATTGATTCATTTTTATTGGACTTGGAATGAGTTTTTATTGGACTATTGCCTAGATTGTTCTTTTTGCTTTTTTGTGATTTCTTACTGCGAGAATCACTATCTGATTTTTCTAAACTTTCCTCAGAATCCTCGCCTGTAGTAACGAGAGATAACTTTCGTGGACTCTTAAATAGCTTTGGTACAGCTACTGAGTGTGTCTTTGGAGAACCTATGGAGATCGGTGATTTTTTGGGTGTTTTTTTAGATCTGTGCGGTGTAAGACTAAGTTTGGGAGGTGTACTTTTAGGAGTAACTATGACAGGCGATATCTTTGCATTCGTGGCAGAGATATTCCGTTGTAATGTTCTATTAAGCATTTTCTCCGAATCCTGATTTTTTGAGGTATTGTACTGAAAAGTCTTGTCAAGTTCCATTGCATTATTGTTGCAATGCTTATTTCTTAACACTCTGATTGATTCACTGAGATTCATATTTTGGTCTTCTTGTGATACAGATGTATCTGCTCCTTTGTCTAAATTAAGCCTCCGGCGAGCAGCTTTCTTCTTTGTGGACTTTTTGAATGTTACCTCTAGATCAGGTGACTCTTTTTTAGTATTTTGCTTGATAGTGACTTCTAAATTATCTTTAACATTAGATTTTCTCTTCCTCTGCGACTGTCTGACTTTCTGTGCTGACTTGACCACATCATGATTCACATTTACTTTTTGTGCCTTAGATCTAGTAGAAACAGCAGATTGTTCCGCCGTTGCTGCAAAGTAATAAAACATTTCAAAACTATCTTCCTTTCAAATCATTAAAAGCTTTGAGAAATTTAAGACTGACTTCAGACTTCGACCAAACTCTAATTAACTTAACAATTTAAATATAATTGTTATATTTAAATTCTCAAAAGGGTAGACTTATTAATTATTGTTTGACAAGTGTCCATTTTTAATGTAAATTAATTGATATTTCTTAATATCAAGTAACTTTAATTTTAATTTATAACTTATTCTTGATTTTTACCTAAATTTCAAAGCTAAAAGAAATAAAAAGTTAATTTAATATAAAATGACTCTAATGAATAACAATTTAAAATTGTATAATAAGGATTATTTAGACCTAGTGAGTTAGGTTATGTGCTATTATAATTTCTATTTAGTATAAAATTATTTAATATAAAAACAATTTCACACATTTCAATCTTTATTAACAATCCTCATCAGTAAATTCATAAAGATTTATATATTCTTTCTTGCAATAAATCTCTTATTATTCTTCAACACTTGTATTACATATATTCAAAGACTCAGTTATTCATGTCTTTATCTTAAAGATTCCTGAGGATGATTCCGTTGTAAAATTATGACAGAATTCCAAAAGCAATAAAGACATGAATAACAGTCTTCGAATATATGTATTAAAAAGTAATAAGAAATTTATTGTAAGAAATATTTTAAGATTGTGAAAAATGTATACAAGTCTATGTATTTACTAATGAGGACTATTAGTAAAGGTCAAAACATTTGAAATTGTTTATATTAGTACCAAATAAAGATTATAATAATAGCACACAACTTATTAGGCTCAAATAGCCCTTCTTATTACATAATTTTGAAACAGTAAATTACTGTTAGAAAAATGAGCAAAAAAAAGATTGAGATTTGGATTCCACCAATGTAACATTAATCTCGGTTTAAATTATTGTTTACACTTTTCTGATTTTCAGGTTTAGAAAAAAATAAGGAGTAAATTAAACTGAGATTAAAATTCATCTTATATTAGTGGAACCAAGCTTAAGGATAACAAAAATTATACGGTTCGGAATTCCGTAAACAATTCTGTTGGTCAAGTCAATTGGAGCTTTTAAGTCGGAGTCACTTAAAGAGAGACAGGAATCAAATAACTTTTTCAATCGAGTCGATAACGTAGCGTCTTAAATTCTTGAAACCCGCGCGGAAAGCAACGCAAAAATACGTTGCTTACAAGAGAAGCTATAACCTTGCACCCGAAATGAAAGAGGAAATCATCGGGATACACATAACTTCGTTTCACCTGCACGAGTTCGTCTAGGCGACATCCGTCCTGGTTTTGGCACTCTTTTCTCACGTAGTCTTGTAAAAATGCACACCTCCGACACTCTGGCGTGGTCTGATCTTACCGCCTTTTCGATTTGTTGGGTGTCTAATTTAACGTGAACATAGGCTCAATCGAAGGACTCGCGTAGAATAGCATGTAGAACAGTTTGGCTGGTTTACGCGCCTATTTCTATGGCCAATTGCGACGCTCGAGCGACTCCTCTCATCCAGAAACGGCAGGAACGCGCGTCGTGCTGAATTGGTCGGCGTCACGAATCCGAAGTCCCTAACTACTCAAAATTTTAAACGGTAGCGTAACCGTCGCCGGACCGCAAACAAGCAATCGCGTCTGGCGTGTAGATTACATGAAGGGGCGCTATAAAAATCTTAAAATTAAAAAAGCTCGAGCAACTTGTTTAATGACAAATTATCGCGGAAATATATACTTTCATCAATTCCGATTAACGTAAATCGATGATTTACTCAATCACCACGATTGCCAATGTGAGAACTAAATACAATTTATCTCGAAAGAGGAAGAGAGAGGAGGCGTTGTGATACATTGAACTGCTATTGGCATTTCTGTGAGATTCAGGATGCTGTCACATGGAGAGAAAATTACAACGGAACGGAACAGTGAGACCAATCAGAACTCTGCAATCATTACTCTGCTTTTCTTTCTGCGATTGTGATTGATCTCACTGTTCTGTTCCGGTGCAATTTCCATTCCATATGTGATGCCACTCTCAGATATATAGCTAAACGATATTTTGTCGTACGATGATGCTTGTCGTATATATCTAGAAAATGAGCTCTCCTATTGGATATCAGAAGTTGGTAAAAGAAGGCACACTGACTTTTGCCTGGTTTATGCTTCAGGTCTTAATCTCAAGATCCTAAAATTCAACCAATAAAGCTGCCAGCTCTAACCGAAATTTAAACTCTATTGGCTGAATTTTAGGATTAAGATCTTAAGACCGAAGTATAAGGGTCTGCGCACAATGGAGGAACAGATATTAGATATTAAAATATTAACCTATCAGATACCAGATACATCGGATACACGATTCTGATAGGTTAATATTTTAATATTTAATATCTGTTCCTCCATTGTGCGCAGACCCTAAACCAGGCATTTACAAATATTGATTTGAGATAGATATAAAAATTTAACCAAAGAATCGCTGATTGGCTAACGATTGTAATGGTTAGTTTTAACAACATGTTGCATCTGCGCATCATGCGATTGATCAATCGATGAATTAAGCCCATTCTACATTGGTCGTAGTCGTATTGTAGGCATCGCAGGTCACAAATTTGTTGCAATAGCCAATTCGCTGTGTTAATAGTCTCGATGTACTGCTGAACGCAGCCATTGGTCGCGTTTAGCAGACTCAACTGTTGCGCTCGCTGCTATTGGATGATCTAAAAGAATATACCGCTTCGTAAGTTGAGCTGCTGAACATGACTGCGTTCAGCAGACTCAACAGTTTTGCAACCGTTTTATGATTCGTCTTGCTGATTGGATTATACTTTTGGATCTAAAGGAATAGTCCTATCACAGCAAAGAATCATAAAACAATTGTAAAACTGTTGAGTCTTGAAAAAGCAGCTTTGCAACTGTTATAAAATTCTTAGATATGATTGGCTTATATATTTAGATCTAATGAGGAAATAAGGGCAAGATCAATCATATTAAAGAATTTTACACAGTTGCAAAATTCTTTAATATGATTGGTCTTGCCCTTACTTCCTCATTAGATCTAAATGTATAATGCCCGTTTCCACCAATGTAGATTAACTTTATAATCTCGGTTAAACTTACTGTTCTTTTTTTTTCTAATTTTTAGAACTAGAAAAAGACGAAGAGCAAATTGAACCGAAATTAAAGTTAATCTACATTGATGGAAATAGGCATAAGCCAATCATATTCAAGAATTTTACAACAGTTGAAAATCTGCTTTTTCTGTTGAACGCAGTCTTATCTTAAAATGAAGTAAAAATTACAAAAAGTGAGCAAATTTTCACTAAAATATTTATAATTTTATTGGTCAACACTTAATGAATTTGTTCATTATCATTTTTATCTCATTTGACAATCGACCCTCTGAATTAATGCAATACAGTTAATTAAAAATTTTTAATAGGAAATAAAATGTTTACTTTTTTAAATAATAAAAATAATTTAATAGAATACTATTTAATCAATCTTGAGAAAAAAATAAGACGAATACGATGTCGAAGTGTTTCGTGAGTATAGGAAACTAGAAATTTATTTCTACACTTAATTTCTTTGTAACGATAGTTTCGGAATTGTTGAACAGGATCGGTGGTTTTCCAAACACGGTCAAACGATACCATCATAGAGCGTGGGAGTACCGCAATATGCGGAGACAGGATACGAAGTGACTGGTGTTACAATGAAAAACTGACTTACTTGAAACTTTGAGAGTTGAGAGTGGAACACAGCACTAAATTATTGTTGTGCAACGTAACCGTAATAAATCTTTTTAGAAATGTATGTATATAATATATTATCTAAATTAAAGCTATGTGAACAAAAGATTTTTTTATAAATTAGTAAATTACTGATACTGCAGTTTCTATAAATTTGGAGAATTTCATTAAAAAATTATTCTTACTTGACATTATTTAAATATGAACATAATTCTCTTTATCTGAAGATAATTTTCTTTGTTTTTTATTAGATATTAATGTACCAAGCAATAATATAAAACTTGACTTGTATTTTAATTATGATTTAATCATTTTGTATGTAACATGTGTCATGTTCTTGTTACAGGCATAAAGTCATTGTTATTCTCATTGCTATTATTTCTTTAACACGAGGAGAAGATTATTATGAGATCCTTGGTATAAACAAAACTGCTAATCAGGATGATATCCGAAGGGCTTTCAAGAAGCTAGCTGTCGTTTATCATCCTGATAAAAATAGCGTATGTGAATTAGAGTATAGTATATCATTGTTTTTTTTTTGCTGTGCTATATTGTTAATAATTCTTTGGTATTTTCCAGGATGATCCAAATGCTCATGATAAATTTGTTAAATTAACAACAGCCTATGAGACATTAAAAGATACTGACTTAAGACATAAATATGATCTTTATGGAGAAGATGGTCTCAATAAATCTCATAAGAAACAAACCTATCATTCTTGGAGTTACTATCAAAACAGTTTTATATATGATGATGACAAATATGTTATTAATTTGAATAAAAATGATTATTGTGAGTATATAATAACTTTCTTTATGCTTATCTCTAAATAAGAAATGAAATATATTAATGTTAAAATGCTAAATATTAAAAATTAAGAACTAAATATTACATTACATATATATATATATATATATACATGTATCTCTATAGATGAAAGTGTTATTAACTCTCATTCAAGCTGGTTTGTAAACTTTTATTCTCCAATGTGCAGCCACTGTCATCACTTAGCACCGACTTGGAAAGAAGTTGCTAAGTTACTTGATGGTGTTGTAAAAATTGCAGCAGTTAATTGTGAATACAACTGGCAACTGTGTCATCAAGTAGGAATCCGTGCGTATCCTACATTGCTCTATTTCCAAAAGGTATGTAGAGAGAAAAAGAGATAGAGAAAAAAAGAGTGCAAGAGAACCTGGTTTCTCTTCAGAGAATCTTAGAGTGTAGAATTTTTAAGAAATTTTATATAATTTCTCCATAGTTTTAGATATGTCTATGGATGATATTTGTTGATTAAATCAACAAGAAATACTAATTCACATTTTGTCTCAAAGAATTCACAGCACAGGGAGCATTACAGAGGAGAAAAAACACAGGAAGCCATCATACGTTTTGTATTAGACAGACTAAATATTCATATACGTGAATTAAATGAATTGCATTTCAAGGAATACTTAAGTGGCAAGAGTGTAAAGAAAACGCCTGTGTTAATATTTATATGCGATGATCAACAAAATTGTTTCACCTCTGATGAAAGAATCAAAGTAGCAGCTATATTTGTAAGTGTTGTGTTATTTTTATGGAAATATGTTTTTACCAAGACATTGCAATTATTAGATAGTATTATAATACGCGTTTTTATTTTTTAGGACAAACTGATTGATGTGACAATGTTTATATGCAAGAATGATAGGTGTCATGACAAGATATCTTACAATACAAACGCTGTCTATCTACCAATATATAATAAATCTTCTTGGGAGCCTATATTTCTTGATGGCATATTTGATATAAATACATTAATAGAAAAGCTCTTAGACCAATTGCCTGATCCGCAAGAGCTATCTGACAACGATTTTAAAGTAAAGTGTTATAATTTGTTATATACAAATTTGTACACATACTGTTAGTTATATATTAAAATAATATAATAGTTATATATTATATGTAATAATAATTATATACAATATATATGTAATATTATATTATATATTATGTATAATTAATTAATATATCATCATTATAGTATTACTATTAATTTACATTTACTTTTTGTACACAATTTTTATTTTTAACACAATTAAGAAAGGAAGAATCATATCAGTTAAAGAGCGCGTGTCGATGTCTAATAACATCTTTTTGTGACTTACAATCTTCAGGGCGCCAATATGTTAAAATATTATTAGGCACTACAAATTGATTTAATAATATTGAATTGGAAATTTTAAGAATTACGAAGAAATATTAGGCATCAACCAATATTTTAATTTTTTTAATTCTGTTGGACATTTCTTGGTCGATTTTAATTTACTGTTTTATTTTAAATTTTATTTTTATCAAAAGTATTCATTATGGTTTACAGCATATTAGGAAAATGAAGTCTGACGTTACCTGGGTTATATGCTTTTATATTGGCGATATCGAAAATTTGCAAGATTTGAATTTGCAAATGAAAAAGTTTTCGCCCAGTGGTATTGAACTAGGTAGCTATTTTTAATCTGCATTAATAGATTTGATATATTAAATATAAAATATTTTTACATAATATGAAATACTATATCTTCTAGGTAAAATAAATTGTGGCAAAAACGGGCAATTTTGTTCTAAATTAGGTGTAACACGATATCCAATTTGGGGCATACTTAAGCCAGGTGGAGCATTTGAATTTCATCACGGA